GTCGGTGGCGAGGGCGACGGCTGCATGTGCGCCACGGTGCTGCGGAGACTGGCCGCTGCGTCGGACACCATGCGTCGGCCTCGCCTTGGCTCCGCTCCGGCAGGGTCTTGGAGTCCTGCAGGGTCGGCTGCGAGGCAGACATGCCCTCGGTTTGGGCATCCGCAGCGTCGGCAGAGGTAGCTAGAGGAGGGAGACAGCGCGGTCTTCTCGATGCCCTTGCCGATACGGAACCAGCGGGACCTTGACGATGACCCTGACCTGCCCGGCAGCTGCTGCGCCACGTCCTTCCAGCGATGCCCAATCGCCTCGACCGTCGCAAAGAGAAGTTCATCTTCGGCGGCGGTCCACGGCAAGCCATCTCGTACGGCAGGCCGTCTTGGCAGGCACGGCGAGTCGCCGCTCGACGTCGAGTCGACGCTGCTGCGGTTCTGAAGTCGGGGTATCGGCGCGGCGGCGGTCCACGGCAAGCCATCTCGCACAGCAGGCCGTCTTGGCAAGCACGGCGAGTCGCCGCTCGACGTTGAGTCGACGCTGCTGCGATTCTGAAGTCGGGGTACCGACGTAGCGTCGAGCGATTCCTCTGGGGCGAAATATGGTCTGGGCAAGCTGCTGGAAGAGCGGCTGCCGCCCAAGGTCATCGAGGTGAGGTGCCGTGTGGCAGGGGCGGAGGACCTAAGGTATGAGGGCGCAGCGTGTCTTCGTGCTCGACGTGCTCGTTTTTTTTGTTCTCCGGCTGCTTTCGCCACTCAGTGTGTGTGTGTGTGTGTGTGTGTGTGTGTGTGTGTGTGTGCTCTGCCAGCCATGGCCGTGACTCCGCTGTCGGTGTGTCGCGGGGGACGTTATTGGCCCTCTGCCAAGCAAGGCGCCGGGCGGTGTCCGCCGGCGCCGCCGTTGAGCAGTGAGCCTGTGGGGGTAGGTAGGGCGCGGGTCGGCAGTCCCCACGAGTTGAGCCGCCGTGCCGGGGTCCGCGCCCTTCCCGGATGGTGAAGGCTTGCGCGCGGTAGCGTGCCTGTGTGCTCCAGGATGCGAGGGGCTCCACTCCGTTTTGCCCGCCGAGGGGCGGTGGCCCATCAGCCGACTGAGTCAGGAGCCGACACCCGGCCCTCACACGACACCCGTGCGGCGTTCAGAGAGTTCACACACAATGGGACCGCCCGTCCTCCTCAATTCGATCGGGACCCCCGGGGGTCGTTACATGCGCCTCGTCACACCGGTGCGAGCTCCATTCGCGGCTCCAATCGCCCCAAGTCACCCCGAGTCGCCTGTCCAAAAACCCTCCCCCGTGACACGGTGGAAACGCCCATTGTGGGCTGAAGCGGCTTTCGCCGGGGAGCGTAACGATCGCGGCGCGCCGCGACCGTCTTCTCTCGCCGCCACGTTACCCCCCCACCCCTTTGGGCCGCGAGAGTACCATACCAATACCCCGGAAAAAGTTGGAACCCAGTCCCGTGCCGAAAGGAAGAAAACATGCGTAAAGAGGCACATGCACATGCTAAAACAATGCTAAAAAAAGCACTTTTGGTGCTTGGTGGTCCTGAGAAGGGGGGGTGGACGCACGCCAGCGGCACGAGGCTCGAGGGCTTCAGCCACACAGCGCTTTCACGAGCTCGATCATGGGAACGCGACCCACACAAAGTACCAAAGTAGGCATACCCCCCGGCGCAGTGTCCCCCGCTATGTGTCGCCGTTTATCGGGGCACGCTATTGTGACGGCGGAGTTGACGCCTCCGACGGTCGTAGCGGCGCGGCTGAGGGCGGCGGTGGAGGCGCCCGATAGCGCGGTGAGGATGGTCTCATGGGTCTAGCAAACCATAGACGACACCAAGAGAACGCGAGGTAAAACCCGACGGCTATGGATGGTAAAAGGCGGCGGTAAAACCCATCCACACGGGTTTCGGTGGGTTGGATGGGAGGTAGAATGTCTACCTACCGCACCCCCCCCAATGTCGCTGGGCGGGATCGGCCCGCAGAGGCGGCATTGATCAGTTCCCCCCATGCACCGCGCGAGCTCGCGCGTTGGAGGCGTGGTCGACGCTGCGCTTGAGCTTCTCCTTGGAGACCCATTTCGTCAAGAAATCGGCGGGCATGAGGTCGTCGGTGATCTTGACGACGCGGCACTCGCCGTCGGCCATGCGGCGCTGCAGCGTGTGGTAGCGGCGCAGGAAGTGGCGCGAGCGCGAGGCGGATTTGGCGTTGTTGGCGACGAGGACGTTTGCCTTGTTGTCCGAGAGGATGACGGTCGGTCCGGTCGGCGGGGCGCCGAGGGCGACGAGGACCTCGCGGGCGTATGCGACGAGCTCGCCCGCTTTGGCGCTGGCGATGGCCTCGCTCTCGTGTGAGGAGTCGACGACGAGGCCGATCTTCTTGACGCTGTGCATGACGGCAGCGCCAAAGCAGGTGAGCAGCATGCCATAGAGGTCGAGGTCGCCGTTCCAGGTGGCGTCGGCGGCGGCGACGAGCTCGGTGGGCGCGTGCGAGTCGAGCCCGGCGATGTGCGCGCTCATGCGTCCCTGCAACTCGGCCTCCGCGTCTAGCCCGCCGTACGTGATGCCGTCGTGCTTGCGGTCGTAGGCGGTGCAGAGCGCGGCGCGCGCTACCTCGTAGGCCTCGGGCGGCGGCGCCGACATGACGCACGAGAGGCGGCCGGTGGGCAGTGGCGGCAGCTGCTGCGGTGGCGGCCGCAGCACTGGTGGCGGCGGCCGCATGGCAGGCGCTGAGCCTGCGGGTGGATTGGCGTGTTGGGCTGGCGCTGGACCGCGATCAGAGCTGATACCATGTGACGGCGGAGTTGACGCCTCCGACGGTCGTAGCGGCGCGGCTGAGGGCGGCGGTGGAGGCGCCCGATAGCGCGGTGAGGATGGTCTCATGGGTCTAGCAAACCATAGACGACACCAAGAGAACGCGAGGTAAAACCCGACGGCTATGGATGGTAAAAGGCGGCGGTAAAACCCATCCACACGGGTTTCGGTGGGTTGGATGGGAGGTAGAATGTCTACCTACCGCAGCTATCCTGTGCAGTCAGGGCAAGTGGGGGCGGGGCGGAGTGCCCAGCGCAGGAGCGTGCGGCTGCGCCCACCTGGCGGGATCTCTCTACCCAGTCCGGGGGTGCGTCGCGGGACCCTTCACCCCGCTGTCGGAAGAGGCGTGCGTGGAGCACGTCCGGGTGTTGGAAGTAAAGATATATCACTTTTACAGATTTGTTTGCGCTTCGGAATCGCTCTACCGTACCTCTCTCCCCACCGGGTAGACCGCTCACGCCGCACCGGCCAGCGCCGGTTCGAGCCGGTCGGCGCTGACCTCAACAGAGATGGCCGCGTCGCTCTGGACGGTGAGCTGCGCGGCTCGCAGCCCGGCGCGCAACGCGGCGCGCACGGTGTCCGTGTCGGCGAGGTCGAGCGTCGGCGCTCGCAGCAGCCCCCAGGCGGCGCCGGCGACGAAGCTGTCTCCCGCGCCGCGCGTGCTCTTGACAGTGGCGGCGAGCGCGGGGAGCTCCTCGAAGCAGACCTCGGCGTCCAGCCCAGAGCTGCGGCGGGCGGCGCGCGCCCACAGCAGCCCCTTCGCCCCTCGCGTGACCAGGACATGACGCACCCCGGCGCGCAGCAGCGCCGCCGCCGCACCTCGCACCTCGCCCTCGCCCTCGCCCCCGCCCTCGCCCTCGCCCCCGCCACGCCTGGTGCCGCCGCCCGGCCCGCCGCCCGCCGCCCGCAAGGCGTCGGCCATGGCGAGCACCTCGGCCTCGTTGGGCGAAACGAAGGCAACGCGCTCGAGTGGCCTCGCCCCCGGGGGCGCGGCGGCCGCCAGCGCAGCGCACGCGGCGGCCGCCTTGTCCACGGAGACGGGCTCGAGCCAGAGAGGAGGGCCGCCTACAGGAAGGGTCCAGGAAGGGTCCAGGAAAGGTCCAGGAAAGGGCTCGAGCCAACAAGGCGGGCCGCCGCTCAGCGAGGCGAGGCAGCGCAGCGCGTCGGGGGAGAGGTTCGCGTCGACGACGCACAGCTTTGCGCGGCGCAGCCCCGCCGCGTGAGAGAGGAGGTAGCCTGCAGGAAGGGTCCAGGAAAGGGTCCAGGAAAGGTCCAGGAAAGGTCTAGGAATGGGCCGCGTGGGAGAGGAGGCAGCCGGTGTCGATGTGCGCGTGCAGCGCCATGTCGGCCACCGCCATCACCATGTCCCCCTCGCCAGAGTGGGTGGCGGCGTACACGGCGGTGCGGCCGCCGCGGACGGAGCGCACGCGAGACATGTCGAGCCCGCCGCAGCCCGCGGCGAGGCGGAGGGCGAAGGCGTCATCTCCGAGCGCAGAGAGGAAGAGAGGAGCCGCGCCGAGCCGCGCCAGCCCCTCCGCCACCTGCCCACACACCCGCACGGCGTGAAGAGACGGCCGTCCGGCATGCCGCGCCGGAGCCGCACACGCCCTCGCACGTTTCGGCCGACGCCGCCCGGCGACACGTCGAGTCTCCCGCCCACGGAGGTGCCCGGCTGCAGGCGCGTCCCCGGCGCAGGCGATGCGACCAAGTCGGCGACTGTGCCTCCAACCACCGCAACGGAAGCCGCCTCCTCCGCCGCTTCCGCCCCCGCCGCGTTCGCCCCCTCCGCTTCCGCCCCCGCCCCCGCCGCTTCCGCCCCCGCCCCCGCCGCTCCCGCCCCCGCCCCTGACCGCGCTCCAGTGGCACCTCCGCCGCCACCTCCGCCGCCAGCCGAGCGCTGCAGCGAGGCGAGCTGCACTGCGATCGCCGCGCCTGCCGCGCATGTAT